CCTAATAAGTAAGACTTCAATTGTTTGGAAAAAATTCACTATTATTCATGAATAACGTGTGTGTGAACTAATAGAATGGATTTGTAGAGTTATTATCTTTCGGTAATATAGAATGTTAAAAACGTAAATTAACGGACAACTGACGTGATAAGGAATAACGACAATGAGTAACACGTAAGAGATTAATGGCGATAAAATCATATCTCTATTGATATCCGAGACAACTGAAACTGGAATCGTTCTTCTCCAAATGAATACTACGAAACAAATACAATTAAGATTTATTATTCTCTACTTATTATAAATCAAAGGGAATTGATCAAGTAATGAGTTTAGGCAAATAATATAAAGCTTATTACAGATTATTGTGTTACACATTTAAATTAATTAGTACAGTTTCTTAATTTATTGATTACCTTGGTCAAAAAACCCATTCACATGTAACGTAATAATCACTAACTCAACTATTTTAGCACATAAAAACTATGATTTCACAGAGTAAGTGTGAAATGTGTTTTTCTCCGTGATGATAATTAAAATAAATTTAAAAAGTTTATCCTTCCACTTTCAGGTTCAACTTATCATTGTATAAATCGATATTCAATATTAACATTTCATATTTCCTAAATACCAATTACTTCTAGCTGAAGAGTGAAAAACATCCTGGCGAAAGCGAGTGATTAAATAAGTTCAGCTTTCTGAACTTTTTTAGTTTAAATAATGTAAAAGGTTTACCGTGTTATTATTAGTTTGAATTTCATAAAGAAAGTAAACAGTAATAGATGTTGAGATGATTGCTCGAAAAATTAAGCAGTGAAATTGTACTATATTATCAATGAAAGTGTTTCCCCTAAAAGTTTAGAGATAAAGCCTATGAAAAAATAGTCCCCATGAATTCAAAATAAAAATTATATGTGGAAAGAGTTTATTCATATAGTTTAAATTTGATAGTAAAATGGAATTTAATTAATAGAAAGATGAACTAAATTTCCGATAAACTAAAAATATGTTATTTTGTTCTCAGTTAAGAAAACATGTAGGATAAGGAGTAGCTTACTCTTCTAGGGAAATCCACTTGACGTTACATGTTTAGAGTTCTTCATATTGAATTTGCTTTGTAACAGTTAAAATCTTTAATGATGAGTCATTGCATAAATCAATGAAGGGGTTTTCACATTTTACAACATATAAATGTGAAAGGGATCTAAATATGTATTTTTATACAACAGACAGAAATCCATATGGGGTTTTATAATTTGAAAACAATACAATTTCAGTAACATCGGTGTTTAGTAGATAGTATTGGTTAAGATTTCAAAAAATGCACATATGTTTATTTAGAAAACAGAACTCAGTAACTATATTTTAACCTTGAGATACACGACTGTTTATGAGAAATACTTCGAATCAACTATTCAAATTAGAAATAGGATGCTTTATTACGTGACCTGATAGTTAAAAGTCCAAAGTCTTGTATACTGAACTTCGGCTCTATTGAAAAGTGTATGAAAAGCATAGTTTAATTGAATTAAGCATCAAAAACCTTTAACGTGCAATCGTAGATAACTGACATTCTTAATGCTTTTAAGAATAAAATTTCAACCGATCCTATTTATTTGTGTATTAATAAAATTAAGTGTTAAAAGTTAACGTAATACATTGTCAACTATATATTATTGCATAAAATATAAAAACAATGTCTCGGTATTTTGTTTACTTTCACAACAAGTATACATACATTACTATAAACGGAACAACTGACAGTGGAATCGATTTTGGTCAATAAGTTGGACAAAAAAAGTGTTTAACTTTTTAATATTTTCAGATTATAGAATTGAGTATTCTTATGTGATTTAACTTGGGTAAATTTTCTAAAAAATATATAATTAATTACAAACTAATTTATGATGAATTATCAATCCCAGAACTTCAACTGCAGTTAGGAATTTATTTACAACATTCCAATCTCCAAGTAAATGCACTATCTTCATTTAAGCTGATGAATTTCCACCATATATCTTCATTATCATTATAAAGAAATAAGTTGTTCCAATCCTTTTATTATTATGACAAACTAGGTTCAAGATTGAAAATAATAATCATTTTAACAGAATAACATCGTTTATAAACCATAAGTATTGATGGATTAAATGTACAAGGTATAAGATGTAAGTAATGATAATAAAATGAACTACTGATTGGGCATGATTGTTCTTTTACTAAGTATATGATTATGTAATTATAGACAGAGGAATTCGTTAAATTCAACAATGCTAAGATAAACATCAAATCATGAAACACGTTAGAATAGGAGAATGAATAAAACAAGTGCTGGATGATATAATAATCATAGAACGGAAGAGATTATACTTCAAAAAGTGATTTGTAAAAATTTCTGTCATCAGCTACTATTGACAATTATAAAACTCATATTTTATAATTTGCACTATTTACACAACTAAGCCACTAAGATATAACTTTGTATGCTTTACAACATTTTGTTTGTGTGAGATATGATAAGTTCATAAAGTCTCTACTATTATTGATGACATACATGGAAGTCAAGTGACTTCTTCATCCATATTATTATTATTTATAAGTTGAGGTTTGCTAATTCAGAGTCTCGATCAAGTATTATGAAGATAAATAAGATAACTAACGTCTATATATAACAGTCTATGAGGAAGATTTGTAGATCAGGTAGATGCTCTTGCTGTTGTTGGGCTCTTTGAACTAGATAATTTAATTCCCAATCAGGACAATATCGTTGTCGATTTCACGTACAAGTAAGCCTCTGTTTATTTCACTTCTACTAGTCAAGTGCTGATTATATTGTTCAGACTGACAAAAAATGCTCCGCGACTAAAAAAATTCTAGTTTAAAGAAATCAACACCAAAAAATTACACAACTCTACTTGGTATCATGTCTATATAGTAAGAGATATCTATTTTACGGTACACTTGAAAAAGTAATTTGATCATCACGAATCGAAACCAGTTGGAGTGTCGTGAATGAGAACTCAAGTGGGAAAACTAATTTATTGTTTAATGAAAATCACACAAAGACACAGTAAAATATAAAAATCAAACATTAAATATACCATTTGCATATCCTCTTTGAAATGTCTGTTGCAAACTGCGTCGTTCCTCCATTCCTAATCGCTGATTTCAGTTTTCTTCTCTCTTCTCTTCTGTTAGTAAGAATTCCACTTATGACTGATACATACTACTTATATCTGTCCGTATACGTAGCACACACCGCGGGAGAACCAATAAAAACCAAGGACCCATCGTTTATCCTAATTTGGATCGGATTAATGGTGTACATTCGTAACTTAAGACAGAACCCAAAACCTTTATGTCTCATATGATAAGCCATATATTCTAGAAATTGCTAGAAAACTGAGTTTGATGTTCTTAGTTAAATTTCTGATTTTCTGAACAGCGCGAAATACGACAACTATTCATCACTTACAGAGAGGCCTATAATCATGGTTAGATAAAAATACGGTAGACAACTGTCTGAAAAGGTATTTACTAAAATTCTGTGAACTAATCGATTGAAATCTTATCTCTACTAGGCCCTTTCACAACAATAAGTGGAATAAAGTCAATAACAGAAACAATACTAGCAGGAAAAACAGCAACATGAAAGATAGTAGAAGGTCGCTCTTTTCCACTAGAAGTTTGTCAGCGATGGTTTCCATTGTGTACTTTAGTTAGTGGTCATACTTCGTAGTTTATCTGGTAGACATTACGGAGACCACTAACTCAGATCCACTTCGTACCCGGACTTCGCTTCAAGTGTATTTATTGTCATGTAAATAATGAATTTATCGTTTACGCGGAAATAATTTAGGCAGTGACATTATAATACTAATGAGGGGAAACGTTCAGCAGGCTGCTGAACAGGTAACACGAAATCTTTTTTCATTCACTAGTAAAATGGACAGAAAATTATATAGACTACACTTTAATCATCCATAAAAGAGATAGAAAATCAAATAACCAGATTACCGCTAATTGTAAATAGCTTAAATTTGAAAATTCTGTTTATGGCATAAGCAGTTAATGGACAAGATTAGGTAAATAGTATGTTTTTTGGAAAATATTTAGTTATATTATATGGTTATAGAAATGATTTCATATGATCAGCATACAGTTGGGTTATATCGTATAACTGACACTCATCAACATTACTTTGTCTAGTTGGTGTTATTCACACGTGTTTATCGCTAATAAACAATACAAGAAAAAGTATGTCAAGCTTCAAGACGCTTCCTGTCAAACATAGATATTATTTGAAATAATGAAGTATATCAAACTATAATCTATAACTATTATGTATTGTATTGAGATTATTAAGGAGCAATACTTAAGCAATAACTATTTAATGTTTACAGAATTTCTGTAAAAATAAATACCATTCATCTCAGCACTGATTAACAGCTTATCATGTTCTTAAATGTTTAAGCGTGAACAAAGATAATAGTACAACTCATTTACCGAGGAAGGTCAATGAAATTAGTTTTAAGCAAGTTTTCTTAAAAGTAAATGATACAAAGCAACCACACAAACTGACGTAGATGAAACGGGTTCGGAAACAGATATATAATTCTTAAAATCTGAACTAATAAGTAAATACTCTATAACAAAACTTCAAGTGATTTAAAAGTTTGAGGAAGTAACTAGAACACATAAAAACATTTTAAAAGGAACCTATGATAATGATACTTTGTCAATAGAATATTAATGCCACGTGATGTAAACAATAGGCATTACTGCAATTTTATTAGGATTAGTTTTTAATCCAATTAGAAAGCAAATGATGAATAATTACTTTACGACAACTAAGAAAATAGATAACGTATAGATACCATAACTATAAAGATCCCCTGTTCTATCATGCTTCAACTTAACTTTTAGCAGTAAAGATCTGATACAGGAGATGATAGAGAGAAGAAATAGGACAAATAATTTCATAATACAAATGTACTTACTTCTACACCAATATGATTTAGACGATTGAGGTAATAGCGTGTATTCTCACTCTGTAAGATAAAAAATAGAACCAAATATAAAATAGATGCTAGAACAAATAGGTGGAAATGTATTTGATACAGTATTTAATATAATAAAAAACACTACTGAAATAATAGTCGAATTGTAAGGACAAAGATGGATACATAGTAACTAACACAATATGTACACCTGGGATGTATCCGTATAGTCGTCTGAATTACGTGTATATGTACGAAATATGAGGAAATACTTAGTCAACCCTAGATATCAGGTTGGATGCATTCACACAGTAGTTATGATTAGGTTTTATCTTGGAAATTAATCAACTAGCGTATTTATATATACGTTGGGTTAAATAATTTTATAATAGTAATCATATGAATTTTAAAACTAATCGAAATTACAGTTGAATTCACCACTCGATCTAAGTCAAACCACCATTGAAAACCTGGAAGCACTAGATAACTGTTTCGTCCCGGTGCGAGACTCCTCAGCAACACCCAGGACTCAAACCCAAGACCCTTGACCTTGCGTGCAAATGCTCAACATCTAGTCCACTGAGCCGGGATCCATTGGTGGTAATGTATAGCTCCAATCAATTCGTGGTCTTGCACAACCCTTCATCTATTGTCTGAGGTTAATAACTGTCCCACCATCGACACGGATTGGACTCCACTGGTCACGGCATCTCACTAGAACCCCAGGAGTCCCATCTTGAGGCTAGTCACTAATGAGCACATGATTATTATCATGAATGGAGGGTTTGTGTAAATTGTAGTATTTTCACAGTTGAATTCACTAGTCGATCTAAGTTAGACCACCAGCGATCACGCGCGAGATCGAAGGTCCTGAGTTCTAGTCTCGCGCGCGGGACCGTGTGTGCGTACTGCTGAGAAGTCCTATACTAGGACGAAACAGCTGTCCAGTGCTTAAAATTGTTCAATGGTGATCTAGCTTAGATCGACTCTTGAATTCAACTGTGAATATATTACAATTTCCACAAATCCCCATACCGATAATAATCGAAATCACACAAATTAGCCTGTAAGAGATGAATGATAACATTAAATGCATAACAATAATACTCGAAACTACCAGGACATTTACATAAAAATTAGACAAAAAAGGTGACCACTTGAAAAAACCATATCGCCGCTTTGAAAGTTGTAAAACTGTGTTATCAGTTACCACATAAGTATTACATTATTTAATAATTGAATTCATGAGTCAATTAAAGGCTAGACCACCGTTGAAAACCTGGAAGCACTGGACGGCCGTTTCATCCTAGTATGGGACTCCTCAACAGTACGCATCCACGATCCCACCTCGCGAGATTCGAACACAGGACTTATTATTATTATTATTATTATTATTATTATTATCAGCTTTATTCAATATTATATTTTTGGTACAATATAGAATTCTCAGCGTAAAGTATTTCAACAAGTTTCCGTTTCTTTCTTCTTGGTCGGTCCTGGCGATAAATATTAAGTGATCGCCAGTTAGATGTTAGCAGTTCAGTAAATGAACATCTGAATAATGTGCATTCTTTTTGCTGTATATTGCCAGCAACCACATTGTCTCTTATTGAGTTTTTTGTAACTTTGACAACGAAAGGTTGTACACTTTTCAGAAACGCAGCAGAATAGGTCATGCGATTAATAAACATAATGATATATTAAAACAAACAAAAATAGATAACTTGTTGAAATATCTAGATGGCAGGAACAGGTAGCCCAGAAGCTTAAGCAGGCCGCCCTTTATCAGGCTCGCGAGCGACGCTTAACCTCTAGACCACTAAGCCGGCATACAACGGTGCTAATATCTAACCTCAACCAATCCACGAAATTGCGCCACCGTCCACTATTACATTATTTAATTATTTGCAGAAGGAAAGTAAGTTCGATAGAACTAGAAAAAATGAAAAGTTATATACTTGTTAGTTTGAGGTGGTTACAAAAAATTCAGGCCGCTACCAAAAGCCTACATTTATATGACAGTTATATGAGCTAGCCTGACAAATATATTTCGTGTGACTCACCGAAGTATTATACTACAGCTCTATGCTAGTATCTGAATATTTTTCATCTGTGTGATCATAGATGAATATTAGAATCAACCTAATACGACCATTATCTACTTGAAAAAAGTATGCCCAACAGTAAGTTGGAGTTTTTAATGTTTACATAACATGATAAACTAGATAAAAGACCAAACTTAGAATGTATGACATAGCAACCCACGAACAGAATATTTTTTCCTTAAAGTCAATTATATTAAATCAAAATTAGGTCACCTGATTAAACTAATTCAATGTAACTGGCATTGTGTGCTATTCTGAGAAGGTTCATACTATAACGGGTTAAATAATAGGCAAAGTTGAACTCTCAAACTATCGTACCAGGAGTTACTATTCATATTTCTGTTGTATCATTATTAGATACTTAAACTAGAAGCTGTCCACATGTTGTGTTGTATTCTACTCGGGCTATCGGCGGACAAGTGTGGGGAGCTGCGTTCTGTTTTGTTCTCAGCTGTTATTTCACTACTCTCGTATCACTGGCTAGCTGAAGGTCATCAATACTGGATAGACAGTCTAGGCGAGTTAATCAATACTCGGACTAGATCAGTACACTTGCTCTTCTGTATTACGGTCCTATCACATGGGCCCCGAAAATAACACACAAGAAAGATGTTATTTTGTCGACACATCAATTAATTATACTCACGGAAGTAAGAAGTTAAATTTAGCCATTTTTCTAAATCTACACTTGGTGTAATTGTGTTTACATTAAAGGATGATGAATTATAAGTGTTTTGACTGGGAGGTTACAAAAGAGGATGATTTGATAACATCAACATGGTCTTAATCATTAGTACTTAGACAGTTGTACAACGGACTTGTTCTCACTATATCACTGACTCCTAAATTTACAGTAGGAACAGCAAATTCAAGACGGTTCCAGGTCGTTTGAAGAATGTGTTATCGATACTTCCGACAACCGGCAGGTTCTAGGATGAAGATGAAATTACAAATATTTTACACAAACTATATCCTCCCATATGACTGAAAGTAGTTGACTAAATTCATTTCAGGAAACATACTACTGCAGGGTTTCGTATGAGAATCAAAGTTGTGTGAAGGTTTATTTATTCTTAAAGAAGAAGAGAGCTGGTCAGTACCTCAATATCACTATTTTCTTCACCTACATTGCAGACATGAGATTTAATCAAGAAGATGGCATCAATCTTTCTGAACCATAAGTATTTCATTATTTCGGGGATCTATTTACATGTCTTCGTTTCAGTTCATTTTAACATTCCATTCTTTTTAATGAAAATCTATACTTATGTTATTATGTATAGTATATAGCAGACTGACTTAACCATCGGTGATATCAAGTTTGATTTTGCATTTAACACGGAAAATTAGACACAAATGAAATGTAACCAACCAAGAAATTGTTTTACACAGTAAATTTACAACCGAAAATAATTCTTAGTATATGTGAAGATGGAATTGATTTTATTTTGAACAATTACCTAGCAGAAGTCAAATACGAACATGTAGGTAAAATAAACTTCTCGTTCATAAATAAACACAACCACAAATCACTGTTAAAACTATCACTCAAACGTAACTAAATAACCGTTGAAATAAGGGATGTTAGCAAAAATATGTAACTGTGAAGAAAATAGAAACAAGGAAATAGAATGATTTGCAGGTTGTACCTCTCCATCAAAACCGATACATGCCCATTCGTACTCATTTGTAAAGGATTTTTATGTTTGAATATAAGTACATACAAGTTATCGTTTCTCATACAAGATTATACTGTTTTGGGCTAGATATTTTCATACTACTACATTCAATAAATATGAAAACTAAAGTCATAACACTCAGGGCACATTATTATCAATGCCATGTGCATAACCTAACGCATGTAAATTAATTCAAGTTCTCATACCACATTACACAGTAAGATAAAATTATTTTGAGGCGAATCCCAAAGTAGTGGTATCAGTATCATTAGTAGCAAGAAACAAGATAAGGAAAAATAAACAAGGTATAGGTAGATTTCAGGATTGAGGATTTAGAGGAAGATAAGGAGAAATCCACCTACACCACTCCGAACCATTCTGATCGATGTCACCCAAAGACTCTACCCATTGGTTACGACAATCAGACAGACCCCAAATAGTAAGTCTCCACCTATTAACATGCCTCATCCCAGTTCTCATGGTCTTCATGGACTGATACTATGTATTTGTTCGACTGCCCCTAACGCCCACACCAGAAAACATCTCCCGTTCACGTAGACGGTGGTTGGGTATACGTAACACGTGTTCCGACCACCTCAGTTGAAGATCTACTACATTATCAATCGATTTACCACCTTCACCAAGTACCCTACTCACAACCTCGTCGTTGCTCACTCAGTGGTCTCAAAATACACGAGCGATGCTTTGGAAATATCTATGATCAATAATAGTGACCTACGAATATCCTCTCTTTACCAAAGAATGACTTTGAACAGCTCTTGCTTATGTGTATGAAGGATGTCGTACTAAAAGTATGTTTGTGACTGTTTCAAGCAACAGACGTGTTACTAATATACCTGGCATACAGGATTACCTCGTTAATTATCGTCTTCATCTTTGTCTGTTCAAAGATGGTCATGAATATATCTGCCAAGATCAGGCCTAACAGACTCCCCATAGAACCTCCACCAACTTAGCCATATAAGGTATTGTTAATTTGGGAGTATACATCTTTTGTACACATTGTTAAAAGCTATTTGAAGTCATTCTTTGCTAAAGGAGGTAGGCAAGTGTATTGCTTGCAATAGTCAAACATGCTACTAATATGCTGAATCTTCTCAATCATGCATATCCGAATATATGATTTAGAATGCAGCATGAGCAGGACAATATGTTTTATTCTTCAAACCTTGGTATCTAACGTAATGGAATAGGTCGAATTCAGAGATTTATTCATCAAAAGGATACATGGAATGGACTTTATTTGAATTTTAATAGCTGCTGTTTGATACATTATAAACTAGCTTTAGTAAGAACTCTATTCTACCGAGTACAAAAATTGTGTTCAGAGGACGAAATTGAGGAGTAATTAATCATGGTTAAGGTGTAATGATGAACAACGACAGTTTATTAATAAATATTGGAGTGGAGTACGTGTCGGATGTGAAGCGGCTTGCTCGCCAAAGACAATGGAAAATGGTCGCGCAATATCGTGGATTGATTGAAGTTAGATACTAACGCCGTTGGACGCCGGCTCAGTGAACTAGAGGTTAGATGTTCACGCAAAACAAAGGATAATAGGTTTAAGTACCGTGTGCGGATCATGGATGCGCACTACTGAGTCCCATGCTAGAATAAAACGGCCATCCAGTGCTTCCATAGTTTCAATGAAGGTTTTATACTGATCGGTTCGTGATTTCGATGAAATATTGGAAAATAAGAACGAAAGTAACAAAGAGTGCCACAGTGGAAAAAAACCTGTCTTCATACGATTTGTATCTAAAAGTGACGAAGTATGTTGTCATATTGATTCTGGACCAACAGCTTCATTGAAAAGGACTTATACAACAGCAAAACTAGTCTCGATATATGAACTAGAGTGCTCGCTTAGATATTCGAAAGTGGACAAGTACTCACATTACATTACTTTCAATTGTATATACCAGTTTATATGTTACGTATCGAAGCACATAGATTAGAAGAACAGAAAGGAGAGTTAATGTTCGTATCAATGAGCATATTCCTTAAAAAGCTGAGACTGACAGATAAACACGCCCCTAAAAGTTCGATTAGTCGTCATCTACTTGATAGTGGACACGACGTCGAGATTTCAAAACAGTTTAAAATTATTAACAGACAAACAGATTCGAACTTATGACGTCTTACCGAACCAATTGCTATCAAAAGACGTAAACCATGCTTATGTGTTCGAAAGAGCACTCTTGCATTGCACTAGTGGCTTTCGTTTGTGGCAATTCTTGTTACAATTTAAAGTTTTTTTTCTTTTCATGCCTTTTTGAGTTTTACTTGAGCTACGCTTATTTTTATCAGTCCATTTCTCGTTGTTGTTATTACGTAACTTTGAGAACCAATCTTTTCTCTCATAACTTTCACATTATTTATGATACAAATATTCTACCATTTGAACGCTCTCTATAATTCTTTCATATTTACTAGTTTTATTTATTCTTATCGATGAGAACAATTCTGATATTATGACTTAAAGTGTGTACAATGATTTTTAATGATTAATACTACTATGTTTAGGTTGCATGCAGATGATGAGAAACCACGAAATAAAATGAATTCAGATTGTTCTGGTACGTTTTCTGTTCTTACTCTATCAAAAATTATATATTCGCCTGGACAAACAGTGCTTATTCCATCTACTAAGAAAGAAGACCTTTAAGAAACCCAAACTTATAGGAAGAGGTATTTTAGCCTTTCCTAAATTTTAAATATCGATTTTATTTAAGTTCACTAAGTTAATAGAGTTGGCGAAAACAATAAAACTCCAAACAAGAAATTATCAAGAAATGTATGAGAAACAAATTTTTCAATCAAAAGTATGCTTTGTAAAAGTAATTCAACTCACGAAATTCTCTGTAATAATTTTTGAACGTTGGTCGAATGCTAATCGAACACTTTCATCTTCCCAAATTGCATTCAGTGAAGGCACGATTTCCAGAAATTCTTCTTCCAACCAGAGTGGTTGACCAAGTCGAGAGCGCTCGCGACGCATCATTCGAGTTTCTTTAAAATGTGCCTCAATTTCTCTACTAGCCTGAGCAGCAGCGGAACCAAGTCCACCAGCCCATGGAATATTGAGACTTTCCCGTGCCTTACGAAGGGGAAATAAAAAAGACAGCAGAAAAGAATTTATTAAATATTAGGAATTTTAATGCCAATTCGGTAGGAACAATGATTGTCAATAAGGTTTACAAATACCTTCCTAGATATATTTACGGTAAATTACTTTTATCTTCCTTTTAGTATTACTTCACAATCCATACTTTTTAACCATATTAGGAAACAATAAGACTGTTGTTGAATTTTATATGAATGTAGTTGTAACTATGTCATTTGTGGAGCCATTCATAAGCAAACAATTATATACATAATAGAAAAGTGGATCGATCAGCCAACAATAATACTTTCATAAAACCGCTTGTCTAATTACCAATACAAAACTATATGTACATCATATATATATATATATATATATATATACCATAATGAACTGTAATGTATTCAAGAACAACAAAAGTCTACTAGTAGTAAAAGTTAGAATGCTATACATCATCAAATAAGTATGACAACTTTCCAATATATCTCAACATGCTTGATCAGATAAAGCGAATTAAATTTTTCTAAGAAAAAGACAATGAATTATAACACGAAATGTTTATTTATTATGGTGTCGAAGCGCGAATCCATTTCTGATTAGTGAGTATAGTGAGAAACTATAATCTGTATGATATGATGGATAGAAGAGCCAAGTCATATCTACGAAGTGCAAATCGTCTAGCTGCATCCAAGCTGTCCATTGTACTCCCTGCTTTCCCTCAGATGTCGAGGTCTACATAATCCAGTCAACCACCAGAAGAAAGAGGAAGGGGGAGAGTAAGCAGTCTTGCCTGATTCCGGTTGTCAATTGGAATGCACATATCAGCTGTCCTTCGTGAACCACTTTGCAGTGTAGTCCGTTGTATGAATTCCAGATGATGCTGACGATCTCAAGTACAATATGACGTCGAAGAAGTTCCCATAACGTTCTCCTATCCCCATTGACAATTACTTTTTCATAGTCAAGGAAGTTAATATGATCGACCCGGTTCTCTGTAGTGTGATCCAGTCAGACCCATATAACTTTGTGTGTGCATTTAGGGGAAAATATTGTGCCACCTATAACCATTTTGTTGAATGCACATAAATTTGCAAATCTCTACCACTCTCGTTTTTTTCTCCCAGTTAGTCTATGTCGTTCCACGGTAGCTTCATACCCAGTGCTGTTCATTCGGACTTTGGTGTTCAGGTCTCCCATCAGAATGGTCAGGTACTTTCCTGATCACTTAACTGTGATTGATTGCGGCCTCTCATACAACTGGTCTTTATCGTCTTCGTTGCTATCATTGGTAGGTGCATAACACTGGATAACATTCATTGTGATCCCCTCCTACTTTGTTTTCAAGGATGCTTTGATGATTCTGGATCCATGGAATTCCCGTCCTCTAAGTGGTTTATATGCTTCCGTGGACAGCATCAGAGCAACTCTCTGAGTGTGTAGAGTATTTCCTTCTTCGTGACCTAAGTACAATAGTATCTATCCTGAATCTAACCTTTCCCTTCGAGCCACGGTTCAATGGGTTTTGCTGATTCCGGGAACCGACAAGCTGTATCTCCTCATCTCCGTAGCTATTTGGTTGATCCATCCAGTTTCCCACATTGTCCGAAAATCTGATGTGCCTATATTGATTGTTGCTCTGGTTTTTAGAAAGGGCACCGGTCTTATGACTTCCGAAGAATTCGGGCTTTCAACCGGAGGCGTCATAATTGTTTCTTTAACTCGAGGGGCAGAATTTAAGTGGTTTTAAATGTTTTTTTTTCAAGTCAGTGGTTTTTTAGCAAGGCTATTTTCTACGTGATGCGGCTGATGACCCCACGCTCAACCCTACTCCTTTGCCCGGGTTTGGGACTGGTAGTAACCATAAGAGAACTGCAGGCGGAGCATAGAAGTGTGGAAGAAACGGAATCGAAACAATAAAATTGGTGACATTGGGAATTAAACATTAAGAATATGATTGGAAAGGGATAAAATCGGATGATGGAGAGTACGAGATCTAATTCAAACCCAAGATTTAGAAGAAAATAAAGAATGGGTACATCTACGTCACAATAATAGACTCTGCGTCTTGTCATCAAATGCATATAACAAGGGATTGTGATTATTTTGAGGACCTAAACCGAAAAGCCTTCTTAGTCCCAAGTCCACTGACTTCATGGGCTAATGTCAAGTCTTGATGTTGCTGTACAGTTCTTTTCAATCTACTGCAGTACAACCAAACGTTGTGTTTTCAATGTCACAACCATCTCAATCAATGAATTTTACAACCGAGTGAATCAATTAACCATTTCCATCGATTAAACGAGGACAAACCTCAGCATTACTTACTTGTTATTCCCCCTATATGTGGCCAATTCTTTGAAAGCATATATAATCAAACATCATAAATCTAATCATTTCGTTTCCCTTCATGACAAGTTTTATTTCGTAACGATAAAAGAATACAAAATAAAACATTGAGCACATAAAATGGCTATTGATGGGCATTTTGTCAGCACTGCAAGTGGGATGAATTGATAGAATTCAGAGGCACTTATAAAAGAATCTTATTAGAGATCAGACTGGTTGATTCTGTTCTGATTTCAACGCTTTGTGTTGTGCAAAAAACAGAGAAGTCAGAAGCAGCTGCTATCGAGTTACTCAATGAATGCAGATGGACGACCCGGATCTCAAACATGTAAAGAAAATTATGCGTACAGGTCATAATAGATTTCTTTAAATATAATAGTTCAGAATGTACATCTCGATAAAAATTAGATGGGGCTCCTGGTAGAAACTGATTTCAAACCGACTAACTCAAGCATTTTAACAGCTGATTTCAAATACCTCACTGATCATAAACAAAAAAGTTATGTGACTTCAAGGACTAACACCAACGATTAATAACGTATCACATTTGTGCTATGTTTGATTGCGCTACCATGAGACTACTCATAGCTTGGTACTGCTTCGACCACCGACATATATGACAATTATCAGTAAGTGATCATGATGAAGTTATACCTAAACAATGTATGTTGATACATCTCAAAAACTTTAGCACGAGATTTATTTAGATTATCTGGAAAATCAAATGTAAACACTAAAATCCTTACACAGCAAAGTCAAAACACGTAACGAATGATTCAAAAATAATAATAATAAATTGACTTTAGTATCCTTCCATTCAAGGTTTCTTAGATGTGCAATGAACCAGAGTTCATCACAAAAGTTGACCAAATAAAATGTTAACAAAAGCAATTTATGCTGAGAAACGAAAGAAACATCTTTCTGGACGATAATTGTACAAATTATAAACATAAATGAGTCAAAACTTATTAGACAATCCAATTACTTAACCGTTTACTTCTGACGTCAAATAACACTAAGTTTACTAAGATTGTTTTAAATATGCTTGTTGAAGAAAATTTACATCCTTAGAACTGACAGAGAAACTAAATATCGCTTAAGATTGCAAAAGTCACTGCTTCGAAAAAAATGGCCCCAGTTACGTGTTTATACATACACTAGTTAGTATGACTGTAAGTATGACGATTAGAATAATTAACTGTCAACAAGTATCAAGTCCTAAGCCCACTTACAGCCACTTTAGCTTGTGCAGCAGGATAGTACCACTAGCTCTTGCATAAATAATCTACGTCGAAGTTGATCGCATCACCATTTACCATTAAGAAAGCTTATCAGTCAATGTAATAAAATGTATATCATTGAATTCCTAATGTATGTAAATATGTGGGTTTTTAAAGTAAACCACAATTTCAAAATAACAGCTTTTAATCTCATTCCACATTTTATTAAAGTTTGATTACATTAGAAAAGATGCCAAACGTATCGATTTTTGTGGTCATGTTTTCTTATTTAATTAAATATGCATACTGCTAACTTTATGCAAAAATGATAGAGGCCTCCAATGGCCAAAGAATCATTATATATATATATATATATATATATATATATATATATATATATATATATATTTCATCGCAAGATTTGAATCAGTTTTCTAGACTTCCGATTGGATACTTTGTTGACTGAGGTTTGAGACCCGAAGGTTGACTGCGCTCCGATTTCACTGATTATTATGAATTATTTATTTTCGTTTCCTTTAAAATGTAATTTTGTTGAATCATTCAAATCGTGACAAGAGGAATGGTCAAATAATAATTTTTATTTTAAAATTGTGGGATTAATTTTCGTAAGGTTAACTGGTACTGATTAATGGAATACTCCTTTTTATTGTGATAAATAGTCATAAATGTTTTTTTTTCTTCGTTTTGAAAAACGAATCTATTGGCTCTTTGACTAAATTTAAATCAACCATAAGTTGGAAATTATCCACTGAGTTTCTGTGTTTTTCGATATCATAACGCAATCAACAGTGTTGGTAGGTTCTGGTTGTATTGTATAATATTTTTAAAAGGGCATTTTTATGGACCGAAATAATTATAAGCTCAAATATCACCATAGGCAGATTTCATTTGAATTGGATGAACCAAGTTGTTAAATAAACAGAAGAATATCCACTTAAATTAAGTGTGAACAGATACACCTTAGTCAGGTAAACTTCCTGAGAAAATTTTGTTTTCTGTTCACTTGGACACTAAAGTAATTTTTTACGTCATATTTCAAGACGATGTTTACCAAGTAAGCGAATGCCTAGTAGAATTATTAAGTACCAATGTATTTGTTGTGAGATGTGGCAACTTGAACCGATGTATATATGTGCCTGGTCCTACGATGTAGCTGACTGTGTTTGGTCCAGAAGAAATAGCTGGTCAACACAGGTACCTCCAGCTAACGAGTTCCAAATGTGAAGGAAAAATCGTCCTGGATTCGACTGACAGCCATATTCAACTTATTAAATATCAATATCTATATTATGGCTTTATAATACGCAAATGGTGCGTAGCTGAGGAGTTCTTGTTGTTTCATCCGATAATACTCCGTAAGCGTATCGACCCCTTTTGGTGAGTATTAATGATCATTTTTGAGTGAGCTAACTATAATAGTATAGATAAATTTCAACTGTCATTTAACTTTGAGGCTTTTACACTTTGTTTACGCAATCACCATTGCTCGCCATAAATCAATAGATATGTAAACTCATTAGGACCAGTCAGTAAGACTTTCCGCACATCAACTAGCCTGAATAATGCTATGGAGAACCACTGACGTTTGACTACAAAGAATCATTCCTCTTTCTTACCCATTCTAACATGACCTACATAATTCACCATTTCGATTCAAGATTAAATCCCGTTCTCAACTAGAATGAAAAATATTTGAAATATGAGGGTCACTGACTTTAGTTATGTAACTCTCTGGTTAGCTTTCAAACAAGTTGAGATCTCAAAGGACAAAAGTTTCAGTCAGTATGGGTTGACCACTCGTGAAGACGTTACTTGGCCACTAAGCTAACGTAATATTTGGTAGTTTTCGCCTTACATGATTATTTTTTGAAAAGTTTCCTAATAAATAATCAACTTCTGGGAAGTCAGACGAAAAATGGGCTATTTTTAAATGCATATCAATAGAATGTGAATATGAAGGGAGTGGATAGTTTTGATAAATACTACTTAGTATACCCGACTCAAATCATAGTTCTGACTCGCCCACAATTGTTAGTACAAATAGTCTTGAGTAGTGATGTGTTGATTTGGTGAGTCTTTCTGCGACAAAGAATACTACACAAATCACAAATCAGACGACAGACGTATTTATCATTATTTATCCGACAGATTCTTATTAAATCGACGGAGGAATTTGGGACTTGAGAATGTATTTTTTTCTGTTGGATTCTTGATTCAGTAGCATACACACTCCCGTTTTAGTTGTATAGTCAGATATTCAAATTCCACAGCGACAAGCCAGAGAGCATAATCAACTCTAACACCCCAGATTTAGTTTAGCATAAATATATAAAACGTTATTACGTTACGTTTATGCTTAGACTTTAGTTACAGCCATTTTAGCAGTTTAGAACGACAGACATAAGAAACCAAAGATGGAAAACAAGTTTGCTAACCTGCAGTAGGAATAAAACACCTTTGTATATGTTATCATAGATAATATCTTTTAGCTGTTCGATTTCTTGGTTTGTAAAGTGCTTTCCATTAATGATTTTCATTTGCTTGAGAAAAGTACTTTTTCCACTTTCACCAGTACCCAATAATAAGATCATTTGCCTTTGACGCAGACGACTTTTCTCCTTTTTCAGTTCTTTTTCTATTTCCCTGTTGCGTTTTTGCTGCCACTTCATGATTTCACGGTCGTCAATTGACTCTTTTGGAAATGCACAGCAAGCAAGGAATGACAAGGTCACTGACATTGGCTGTACATAAAAACCACGGAAAAATTATTGAAAGGACAATAACACAGCTCAGTAACCAACCACAGATTTGTGTACTAGGTTTTGAGCTATACAAGTTAGTCAATACGCCTCAATAAACAAACTCGGGTACTAACTCAATAGTAACCCCTCTGAGATTTGTTGAACAGATGTTGAACCTATGAGATTTTTCAATGCTTCAAGCTGTAATTCTTTTCAATTTTACGAGTGAAAATGATGTTAGATAAAGTCAGAAATCCAAAATCGAACACATGATTTGTGTTTAAAAACAGAAGCAGAAAATAAGTATAAAAATGGATATGTTACCAAAGCCACTAGATGATAAAATATCGTTAACTATAGCTGGTTAACACACATGAAACCACTGATAAGAAAATGTACACAGAATTCCCAAGTTACTTTGTTACTGCGAGCAAAGACATTTTGTTGTTCCCGTAAAGAGCGGTATAACGGCTTTAATTAAAACTCGAAATCTTAATAACGGAAGAACAATTACTTGAGTGGTTTAGCGGGTTTCTTGTTGGTAGTCGATATAATTACGAACTATCTGCTACTTATTCTGTTAATTATTATCGTTTAAACACATAACCATTGGTACAGGGGTCCACCAAAATATATAAGCGCCACACAGTAAAAACGAGATTGTGAAGAGATAGAGAAAAGAAAGCGAGCATTACAAGAAAACAAATCAATAATGAATATAAATCATGGTGTGAGTGAAATAATAATAACAATAATGGATGGAGCGGTTTAGTTAGGAAAAATACAACCCGACAGAATTCTGTCAGTTATTCTAGCTTTTATGAAGTAAAAGAAAGTTACAGCATGATCACCATTGGCTTGAATTCTGAGCCATGTCTGATAACGTTCCGAGCCATTGAAGTGCACCATCTCTAGCACCTAAACATCGAATCGTGAGGGACGAACAGAAGCCAGTCCTGAATACCTTTCTTTCATACCACGATACTATATCATTCACTGACCATCTTTACGCATTTTCCAACTAGTTCCAGCGTCAGTAAATAATGCACAACGTGAAATTCGCTGGTACAACATTCAAAGTGCGTATCTAAGTCACCAAAATCAGTGTTTTAAGAGAGTGAATTAATTGAATTATCATCACTGTGTCCGAACACACGTTGTCGTGCCTCTACATTACCAAGACAGTGTTGCCACTGGATGTCAGCAATCCTTCGGAGACGACGGTGATCAAACACAGAGAATCACCTAACATACTTAACTTGGAGGAGCTTGGTTTCACAAAAATTGAGAGAAACTGTTCTCACTAACACACTGTAAATTCGAACTTTTAGAGCCAAAATTATATCACGAAATCAACAAACATGGCTCAGATCAACATAAGCCTCTCTGGATTTCATTATACGTAAACTGACCTCATCACTTACACCATCATTTGCGCTTATACAGATACTCAGATTCACGAATTTCTTGACTACTTCTATCTCTTCACTGCCAAAAGTGAATGCGGACAGTGTCCTCTCGGTCTTGTCAATGTACTTTGCATTTCGAAATTTCAAATAATATATCACACCCACGGAAGTTGATTCCCAACTGATTAAGTGAAGACTAGATGGCTTGGGTATTGTCGCACAGTAAGACAATGTCATCCGCATACTCAAGGTTGAAAAAGTATTTCTCCAGGCAACAGATCCACACCACCTTTACCTGCATTCATCAGAGCTATTTACAGAACGTCATCGGTGGCAAAGTTGAATAGGAGTGGTGAGATTGGGTAACCCTGCCTAACTACATTGCCTGAATGAACCAATAGAGAGGTGATTGTATGGCTTCATTCTACCTGAAGTTTTTTGTATGTAGGGCTTTCAAGATGTTAATAAACTTTTCGGGCACACTCTTTTTCAATAGACAATCCCAGAGAACTGTCCTGTTCAACAAATCGAAGACGGCCCTAATTTCAAGAAACATTACGATTGTTGACAAGTAATAAGTATGACGGTGTTCTAACATTTGGTGGAGGGTGAAGATATAATCAATACATCCTCGGCCAGAACAAAAATCAGCCTGCTCCTCTCGAGTCAATCCTTCTCAGGTCTCGAACAATCCACAAACCATAACAGAAGCTAACAGTTTGGACGCAATCGGAAGTAGACTTATCCCCTGACAGTTGTTCCATAGGTGATGTGAACCCCTTTTAAAAACAAGGATAACCGTCGACTCACTCCACTATGTTGGGACACTCTCTAATTCCAAGATATTTATAAACAACTAAGTCATTTCCTTAACCATCTCACCACTACCTTTAAAACGAGCCGGAGTCAAGTCATTTTGGGATGGTGAGTCGTGGCGCTTTAGGAATGGAAGTTCCTAGAGCACTTTCACCTCATTAAACGGATCAGTCGATACTGGCTATGCTTCGAGGAGTCGTAAGACACTAGTAGGAACCCAATGTTTATAAGCGGGACATTTCGCGGAGTTGGTATCATGTAATTGCATCCAGTGTTCATCTAGAACTTTCGGCGGGTTGATAGCTAGCCTTAAACCTAGCCCGGTTAGATATTTATTTGCAACATAAACTGTAGTCAGTTTGCTGACATTGATCTGTTAACACTTGAATTTGTCGGTCACTGAAACGTAAGATAAGGTTAACGCGAACAAGCGCATGATCCGAGTCCAGCTAAGTACTTCAAAAAAGAGGCAGTCTAATGCACAACGACACTAGCGGTAGCTGATCACAATGTGATCAATCTGGGCCCAGGCTTGAGATGCAGAGGGAGGAAGCCAGATGGCACATCGACGATGACTGTACCGATGGTAAACGATTAGATGGTGGTTGAAGGTAGTCGACAGGAAACCCTGGACTCGGGTTTCGTGCTAATTGGCACTCGTCAGCAAGGTGTACCTGTAATCTTGAGGGAACTGGTGCTCCGTGACGGGTTCCATCCCGTGTCACCAGAGACGTTACCACAGCTATCCAGGCCGCGACCGACCTCCTGTAGTACTGAGATGTAATCACAATTGGTTGATCACCTGGTGGTGATCAATGTCATGTGTGTCAAGTCCTTATTAGTGCAAATCGAATGCTATTGACCAAGTAAACGATGGCCAGAAACAGGTTGTAGTTTGTGTTAAGTTGCAGTAGACGATGATCGTCATCTGGCCTGCGACAAACAAGTCCCCACCAGCTACCCAAGCCACTTTTCTCAGTGCCTAGACGCCCGGCCTGTGCATTTAAGTCTCCGACTAGTACTACAGTATCTGTCGAACCAACTCAATAATTTATTCTTGGAAATCAGTAATCAGTGGAGCACCGGAAAAAACAGTAAAAGGTTCACTATTATCCATCCTTTATATCAATGAATTTTCAAGTCTCATCAAGTTTGATGATATAAAAGTATGGAAAGAGGTACAGTAGTATGGGGATATACGAACACTCCAGGTTGATCTCAACATTATGGAAAACCGACTTGAAAATAATCATTTTCAATCAATACATCTAGGTATCTTCATGGACATGAGTCATAGACTGATGCCGAATTTCACAGGTTGAAATCATGAGGTTTTCCATGGTGGTCTAGCTTCAATTGGCTCATGATTTCAACCCGTGAAATTTCTAAAATATCTCCACAAAACCCATTCTGATAATGATCAACTGCTCACTAGTGACTGACTTCAGTAGATACTCCTGGAGTCCTAGTAAGAAGCCGTTACCAGTAAAGTTCAACCAGGTCTGTTTTGGGATATCAGCTCACTGAAGACAATGGTGTACGGTGGCGCAACTTCGTGGATTGGTTGAAGTTAGACATTAACACCGTTGAATGCCGACTCAGTGGTCTAGTGGTTAGGTGCTCGCGCCGAAACCAGTAGGTCCTGGGTTCTAATACCGCGGGCTGCGGGATCGTGGATGCGCACTGCTGAGAGTCCTATACTAGGACGAAATGGCCATCCAGTGCTTCCAGGTTTTCCATGGTGGTCTAGCTTCAATTGACTCATGATTTCAACCTGTGAAATTTCCGAAAAATCTCCACAAAACCCATTCTGATGCCAAATTGCCTGAACGTCTCCATTAGTCTCAACTAATAATAACTAAAAGTCATGGCAAATTACAACTTTGAGGTAAATGCTCAATCCCGTTTGGTGGCAACTAAAGGTCAACAGGCTTTCTAAAATTGGTTAAAAGGACAGTAACAACTGTCTAAACACCCCTAGTTAGATCAAAACAACTTAAACGTCTACAGCTCCTACTTCCTAGCTAAACAGGTGAATTGGATCTTTCGGGAGAAGTACGGAAGATTGCTACCCGAGAAATCTGGGAGATGACCAGTCTGTCTTACGATAAGCGGCTTTGGAAGTTAGATCGTTTTACATCATCGTGCTGTGAACTGAGTATGACTTGAAAGACAGTAAACGACTTTGAATTCGCCACGTCTTGTCTCTTTCTTTCAACTAAGTCACAATAAATCAGAGTATACATCAGTTTAGTACAGGAGTCAAGAGCACACGATCCATGCAGTATATACGTTTTCCACATTGAACAATAAACTTCCATAACTTGCTACCAAAAGACCTAGTTCCTTCAATTTTACGTAGCTTATTAAAGAAAAAACTAGGAAAATAGGGCGGCAAAATACAGGAGAACTTGTAGTGGTTTATCTTCGAGACAATTTCTTAAACTTCACATATTGATCGCCCTGATAACCAGTCAGCAGTCAGTCAGCTACAACGTAGGACCAGGCACATATATGCATCAGTTCAAGTTGCCATACCTCATCAACACAACAAGATGAACACCGGATTCATAGCAGTGGTTAGGTCAAAGGTGGTAATATATAGGAGAAAGATTGCATATAGAGATATAATACAAGAAGAAAGAATTGGTTCGTAGAAAGAAAGATATGAAGTGATTTTAATCTCTTAGTTTAAGGGAAGACAGGGAGTGTATACACCGACGCCATTGTGATCGATTCTGAGCCATGTCACCAAGAGTCTCCAACCATCGGTTACGAAAGTCACACGGACCCCAACCAAGTAGTCTGCATCTACCAACATGGCTCAGACTACAAGTTAGTGTCTTCAAGCACTGATGCCACGTTTTGGTTTGGCCACCCCTAATTCTCTTCCAACCATCTCTAACACCCGTTAGCTCTGCACGACGTGGTAAACGGTGTTCAGGCATAAGTAACACGTGGCCCAACCACCTCAGTCGATGAAGATTCACAACCTCATCAACTGATTTACCATCATTCCCTAATACCCTGCGTCTAACCTCACTATAACTTACCCGGTGATCCCAACAGACGCCAGCAATATTTCTAAGGCATCTGTGGTCAAATACTAGTAGCTTACGGGTGTCTTCTACTCTTAAAGACCATGTTTCGCTGCCGTAAATTAAGACAGAACGGACTGCCGCGCAGTATACTCGTCCCTCAATTGATAGACGGATATCTCGCCTTCGCCATAGGTGACGTAAGTTGGCAAAAGACAAGAGAGCTTTTCGAATCCGTGCTGAGATTTCGTCAAACACAAACCCATTAGGGCTGATCAGACTTCCAAGATATGTGAAGTTGTCAACGCGTTCGACTACTTCACTCCCTATCCTTAGTTCAGGTGTTAACGCAGACCAGTCCTGAAGCAACAACTTGCATTTAGAGGGAGAGAAGCGCATTTCAAACATCCTGGCATTGTTGCTCAGGGCTACCAGAAGACTCTGCATTTTGTCAGCGTCTTCACCAAACAGGACTATGTCATCTGCGTACTCTAAGTCGATAAGTGGACCTCCTGGATGGAGATCAATACCCGAGAATCCAGTCGACGAGAATGTTATTTCCATCAGTAGGTCTATGATGAAGTTAAACAGAAATGGAGAAAGTGGATAACCACTATTATATAAATCCCAACGGTTTATAAATTTTAGAAGGCAACATGAAGCACCGACTACAATTTATTATCGAACTATTTGTTTATTTGAACACATAAACATTGGTACAAAGAGGCACCAAATAGATATGCGCCAAATAAATCATTCGATTTATGTGAGGGCTGGGATACTAACCGGGTGCCCAAATCGAAGTAGGTTTATTATTATTATCATCATTATTGAACAGCACAGGTCAATGAGCCACAAGCACACAAAGCGAATTCGAGCAGAACTGCTACTGTGAGCGAGCTAGCGAATACAGAGGCGAATTCAGAGTCAATTAATAAGATCCAAGGATATATATATATATATATATATATATATATATATATATATCGTAGAGCCATTTAAGTAACTAAGCAAAAAAGATGGATTTGTGTGTAGGTTGCCATATGTGATCATGTTCATACAGACATGATAATGACAATAACTATACAAAGATAGACAAATTGTTACTGTTCGAATAACACTGTATGTTAAACAAGTCAATTGAAGGGCTTGACAAAATTAACCTCAAATAAACTCAATTGTAGGGGAGGTGCTATAAAATAATGTTCCTCCTTCCTATAGATAGAATTGACAATGTGTTCTTCTTATTTAAGTCCGCGGCTAATAGAGCCTATCAAACAGTTGTGCAGGCCCTTACCGAAATGTGGAATGCAGATATGAAGGTGATCGACTCTTCGGCCTCGGCTGAAAAGTGGAAAATTAACTTAGATACATCAATAGGAGAGATATGGACTCATTCCCAGGGTCTTGACAAAATTAACCGCAAATAAACTTAATTGTAGGAGAGGTGCTATAAACTAAAATATACTTAAGGTCTTCTGTTTTCATATCCCAAATCTGAAGCTAAACGATAGTGAATCATCACTTTAAATGGATAAAAAAATACAACAGCACAAGAACTAACCGAAGGATATCAGGTTAGAGAGCATAGCTTACGAGATGAACAGATGTTGCAAGATTAAATAGAACTGATTCTATTTGTCAACTATGACTAACATTAAACGATGACACGATTCAGAGTCGCAAACTTCCCTTAGAGACACCATGATACTTTCATTTGAAACCTAGTTGAACGTAAAGTTTTAAACACTGAAATTGAATACCTGCTTCCTTGATCATACCAGTAATGCAGTGGTAGGTGTTTTCTAAAGTTTCAAGGCGCCTATGAAAATCTTAGTGATGACACCACCAAACGACCTTTGGTGTGGTCTTCTTTATGATGAGAGTTTAAGGAATTTTAAACTTTGTTGACGTACTTAGTTTTAGAATAACTACGATTTTAGTTATTACGAAACTTTAAAGTTTCATAATGACGGAAAGCTCTAGGTATGGTTTCAGAGGTGCAAAATTTGGGAAGTGAAGCAAGCTTGAAATAGAAAAGAATATCAATTACCAAACCGTGCTAAATAAATGTACATATCAAGGGGAAACATTAGTAAGTTTTGAAACAAAGTGAATAAATTAATACGCGGCTTTTCCCGACCGAAATCAGAGAATTTTCGGCCATAAGGCCAAAGCATTACAAGAAAACATATGTCAATAAAACCAGTGTTATGATGGAGTGCACCGAAAGGTGGACAAATTAAATCGAGACAACCATAAATGTGTTTACCATACCAAAGTAACACAGCTGTCAAATAGTGCGCTTCTCAATCCCCGTTTTTGTTTGACCAAGTCAGTATCAGATCGCTAAACTTATATGACATTCTTTTGAACAGGTCGACAAACGAAGCTGCCACAGTATGATGAGATATTTATTTATAACTTTTAGGATTTATTGGAATGGTCGGTAACCAGATAACAAGTAATTGACTCTATGCTTATGAACTTCAGATTTAGATTTGTGTAGTAAGGACAGAAGGCCTACGGCCTATGTTATTCCTTTTCTAGTATGCTTCTGTGAGTGTCCAGTCTTCTCTTGGAATAGTCAACTGAGGGTGCAGGCACCACTGCTTCGGGCAGCAGGTTCCAAGTATTGATGACTCGGTGTGAAAACCTGTATGCCACGGGTGTTCTGTTCGTTCTTGGCTTTTTTACTCTCCTGCTATGTCCTCTGATATGTCCCGACCTAGTGGGAAGAAAAGGAGAGAATAAGTTAGGTCCGAAATCATTTCTCAGTATTCTGTACATCAAAATTAGGTCTCCCCTTAGTCTGCGGTAGGACAGAGTAAAGAGGTCCAGTTTTTCGAGCCGCTCTTTGTATGGTAAACCCCGGAGTTCCGGAATTGCACGGCTAGCTGCTCTCTGTACTTTTTCCAGGATATCCGAGTCACCTTTGAAACTGGGGCTTGCAGCCTGAAGACAGTTCTCAAGCTTAGTTCCCACTAAGGTTGTGTATACTGTAGTGAACATGGTAGTATCTAGCTTGGTGAATGTCAGTCTTAAAGCCCAGAGGATTCTTAACCCTTTAGCTGAGACCTCACGGTAATGGTTCGTGGTCCAAAGGTCGTGACCCACTGTCACCTCAAGATCCTCGTGAGACCGGACTACGGGTAATGGCACATCCCCTATGTTCTAACTATTAACCTTTGAATCCTCAAAGTCCACGTAGACGCTTTTCAGCGTTAATAGGCATCAGCCACTCTTTAGACCAGTTTGTCATGTTATTTAAGTCTGCCTGAAGAGCACATGCGTCTTTGTCTTCAGTTATTACTCGCCAGATTTTTTGCATCGTCAGCGTATAATAACATCGGAGACTGTACTATACTTGGAAGGACATTACCATACATTATGACTGAAAGGACCTAGAACGGAACCTTGAGGTACCCCACTAAGTACTGGTCTTCAGATGGAGCACTTGGAATTTATTCTTACTTTCTGTCTGCGACCTACTAGGAAATCCTTAATCCATTTCGAAAGAGGCTTGGGAATAACAAGGTTTTTCAACTTCAATGGCAGTCTATTAGGTGACACCTTGTCAAAAGCCTTACTGAAATCTATGTAGACAACATCCACTGAGTTTCCGTATCCAAAGCTAAAAAGCTGATCGGATTGATAATGATAAACTTTAATAATATCGAATCGAGATTGTTATTATACAGAAAATGTATCTTACCCATTCTTGAATATGGTACTTTAGTTTACAGTAATTGCAGACGTAATGACCTGATTAAACTTGAAGGTGTTCAAAGAAAGTTCACCAAAGCTGTTCTGGCGTATTCCGATAACAAAGACTATCACCAAAGATGTCAACAACTCAACTTAGAACCTCTTTAGATCAGATGTGTCAAATTAAATCTTGTCTTCATCTACCGGCTTATTAACGGAATTTCCTACTCTTCAGTATCCACCCCTTCATACCTTATGATGTCATCCCACAATCTACGCAATGAGGAGAATATTCTAGCGATTCCAAGAACCCACACAAACTCAGTTTAGAACTCTATGAGCTTAAAGACGGACGTTTATGAGTTGAACACCTATATGTTTACTGCCGTGTACACAACCTTAGTAACATCCAAACTTGAAAACTGCGTTAAGGCTGCTACTTCCCGTTTAAAACGTGGCTTGGATATCTTGGAGAAAGTACATGGACCAACTGTCTGTGCAAATACAGAACTCTGATGTTTATCATACAAAGAGCGACTTGAGAAGCTAGAGTGCTCTACTTTGTCCTACAGAATAATTAGGCTTAGTCCGATTTTGATGTATAGAATTGTTAGATATAATTTTGACCCGATATATCCCCAGTTTTTTCTTCCCACAAGATCAGGACAACTTAGAGGACATAGAAGGCGTGTATAGAAGCTAATAGCGAACAAAATACTCATGTCATGAACGTTTTTACATCGAGTCATCAGTTCTTTTAATTTGTTATCCGTTGAAGTGGTGTTTGTCCCCTCATATTACTTACTCAAGAGAAGACTAGGTGCCTAGAGAAACTTACTATAAAAAGTCTAACATACACCTAGGCCTTCTATCATCAATACAAAATTCTGAATCCGAGTTTATTGCATCTCGGTCGTTGGACCTCCTTGCAATGGCGACGGAGACAATTATTTCTAGAGGGAACCCACAAAATGACATATTAACAGCTGAAACGTTATAAAAGATACAAAGGTCAATATAAGGCCACATCGCGTTCCGCAACACGTGTAGTAGATTCAAATCTTAACCATAGGATCACTGAGGTCAACCATATGACATATGGGGAGACTTACACTTATGGCTTTCTTCCTAACGTAATTCCTGTCGCCAATTGTTATATCCGTGTCGCTTATTACTTAACTTCAACGGACAAGGCACCACTGCGATTTTCGCGGCTAAAAATAAAAACGACAAGACTAGTAAAATTGATTTATCGAATCAGTCTTGGGAGGCCAGGACCGCTGACGTTAGCATCCACCTTGTGGTCGCCTAAAAATTCAAGGCCGCGATGTACTGGAGCATAAACGTCACCGGGTAGTAAGACCAGTAGTGTACTGTTAGCTGAATTCTTATTAGCAATCCCAATTGACTGAAGTCTGTCGATTCGATGCTTATGAGGAAACTTAGCAGAAACTTTCTTGATATTAGAATACAGCACAACCGCTTAAAACTGTCAGTTTCGTATGCTAGTAAGCTGGTTAAAGTAGTTTGCTGGTGTAGGGGTCAACTCACTGAGCCACTCCAAAGTTCGCGACCCAAACAAACACCAATTCAGGTTGTAAATTTTGAACAGAGTTGACCATAAACTGTCACGAGACCAACAAGGTTAGATGAGCGAGTTACTACAAATTTATAGGTTGACAAACCGTGAAGCATCTAAGTAATCATTAATTTTTATAGTGAAATTCACTTCTTTTGCCGAATCCCAAATAATTTGACATACTTAGTTCTTAAAATTCAACTGACAGTGTTTATCATATCGAACAGTGTTTTTCGGTGAGACTGTTATTTATGGACGACCCTTTAGCAGGGCTAAAATAACCTGGAATGCCCACCTACTTGCTATGGTTAAATAAGGGCTATAGATTAGTATGAGAAATTGGGATTAGGACTAACAGTTATTATTATTATTTATTATTATTAATGGCTTTATTCAATATTATAGTTTTGGTACAATATAGAATTCTCAGCACAGGTTATTTCAACAAGTTACTTACGCAACAAAAAACACAGTAACGAATACAAAAAGAAAGAGAAATGTGCTTTTTTTAAAGAAAAAACCCCGAAAAACTGTACAACTTTTGGAATTAAGGACATGTTAAGAATGCAAGTTATTGACTAGGTTGACTCTAACAACCTGTTCGTCACAGAGTATATTTGCTAGGTAAGGTATTATAGAACTTTTACACTTTTGCTTGCGTGCATGGATTTTAATGTAATTACGTCTCGTTCTACCAGAAGATATACAAGGAGAAAGATAAGAGTGAAGGGGATGGCTAGTATCTGATAAAATAACACCTGCCAGGAGTTTGCATGATTTTAAATGTCTATCCACAACCATATTAATTATGACCTCGAAAGATTCACCACATCTTGCTAACTGCCTTCAGCACTCTCCGCAATACAGCAAAGTCTTTCCTCAAAAGCCCGGGAAAGAATAATGGAGAACAGTAAAGAATAATAGGTAATATGCAAGAATTGACAAATTGTAAGAGTAAATGACGAGTAATCCCAAGAGCATGCAATCTCTTTATGTAGTAGGTCAGACGGAAAACCTTCTTTGATAACAATAAAACGTGGGAAGACCAAGACAGATCAGAGGAAAAGGTGACACCAAGATAATTGACCTTCGACACTGTGTATATCAAAGAGTCTCCGATGGTACAAGCATTATGGGATCTCAAAATGGTGTTTAGATTCCGTTCATGTCTCATACTAAAGTTAACAGCTTGACATTTAGACGGATTAAGTATGAGACCATTACCAACAGACCAACAATCAATACGAGACAAAAACTCATTCATTTCTATGGGATGTAAAGAGGAAGAGATAGGCATACATACAGTAAGATCATCCGCATATTTCAAAAGTGTTTTCTGTGGAAGATGGCAGATCATGCAGAAAAAAAGAGAATAGAAGAGGTGAAAGAACAGCTCCTTGTGGTACACCTTCATGAGACAGCAGAGACTCTGAACACTTTCCTCCAAACACAGTGTACTGTTCCCTTCCAGAGAGGTAGGAACATAGCCAGTTG